AAACTGAAAAGGCCTGATCGCGCACTGGCGCGGCCGGCAGGGGCAGTACTGGAATCGGGGCTCGACGAGGAGGCATCTGAATGGTCAAATGACAGGGATTAGCAGAAAGTATTGAATATTTGACGGAGAATTAATTACTCAAGAATGTTAACAGAAGTTCTCAAAGTTAACCATCTCTGCTGAAATTCTAACTGAAGCAGTATAGCCGATTAATAAATAGCTACACTATACTTTAATAAGTTATCGGATTCCGAAAACACCTAGCTTGGCTAGAGTTCCGGGTACACTAAAATCCTCTAAGTTCTTACTAGAGTTCTGACTAGAATTCTCAAATCTTAATCGAAGGATAGATCTAACGCCCCTGAAATAATCTGAATATAATTAAATATGCATTCGCAAATAAAAGTTGTACAGGTGACGTACCTCGGAGTCGGCGTGGCGTGAGCGTGGTGTGGTCATATCTCACTAAAATTTTTAGTATACAGAACCACTAAGTGGCTATGATACCAACTGTAACACCCCGCCTAAACTTACTAAAATCAGAGTAAATTTTTCGCGCTATAATTGGAAAGCACTAATTTAATTTTCGAAAACTCATATTAATTATGCTTTCCTTTTTATTTTATATTTTGGCGTACTTTTCCGTGTTTTTCGGTTATTAATTTCAGGGTTATTCCGGAGATTGAGAGAGAGAGAGAGAGAGTCGAACTATGTTATGAGAGAGTCGAGCCACATTTAGTGAGTCCGAGCCAAAGTTTCTTTTGCATGATCGCGAGCCCGCCATTGCTTCCCCGAGGTCGAGAGTCCTCCCTACATCACCATCGCGTGCCCGCCGGCGTTTCCTCGAGCTCGAGAGTGCTCATTTCTCACCATTGCACACGGCGCGTGCCCGCCACCATTTCCTCGAGGTCGAGAGTCCTCCCTACATCACCATCGCGTGCCCGCCGGCGTTTCCTCGAGCTCGAGAGTGCTCATTTCTCACCATTGCACATGGCGCATGCCCGCCACCATTTCCTCGAGCTCGAGAGTGTTATTTTATGTGCGTTTTTTAGTGTGTGTTTTGTTGGAGTATAAATACTTTTGAGCCTTTGCATTTTGAGGACATCTAGCTCATTATGAAATGTTTCCCTTTTTGTTTCTTAGCTTAAGTCTTTTATTTACTCTCTAGAGCAAGGTGGATGCTATTTACACTTTCCGGCGACTTTTTCCGGTGACTTCTCGTTTATGCAAGTTTTAATCTTTTTCTTCCGATTTCGATCAAGCATGCGTTAGGGATGTGAGTACTTACTTTTAAGCCTTGAGATCTCGATTTTCGTACTTACTTGCTATCTCGTGCGTAGAAGTAATTGAGGCTTGCTCGGTTATCGGAATTTTAGTAGTTACTTTAGCTATGTTTATTTCTCTTGTTTTTATGAGCTCGTTTATGATG